TTTTTTGAGATAGTCGCACTCTGTTCCCCAGGCTGGAGTGCAGTGGTGTGATCTCAGCTCACTGCAAACTCCGCCTAATGAGTTCAAGCAATTCTCGCTGCCTCGGCCTCCCTAGTAGCTGGGATTCCAGGCCTGAACCACCATGCCTGGCTAATTTTTGTATTTTTTAGAAGAGACGGGGTTTCGCCATGTTGTCGAGGCTGGTCTTGAACTCCTGACCTCAGGTAATTCTCCCACCTCGGCCTCCCAAAGTTCTGGGATTACAGGTGTGAGCCACTGTGCCAGGCCTCTGTTTGCTCTTAAACTGCTTACAGCCAGTGCCTTCCTCCTGCCCACATTTGGGCAAGCTGACAAAAAGGCCATGCCTGCCTCAGCACCGAGGTGAAGTTCAAACCAGGCAAGTCCAGGCCCACCCCACGCCACAGTGGAAACCAGGGCTAATTGCTCCTACTTTCTCTCAAGCCACAGGAAACATTTCTGTCCCCAGCTCAGGGACTGCGCTGCCCTCCCCGAAAGTCCTGTGATGTGACTGAAGTTTTCTTCTTATTCTCTGCCGTGTGTGTTCGCGTGTGTGTATGTGCATGCGTGTGTGAGTATGCACACACACAGTGTGTGCACGTGTGTTTGTGTGCATGGTATCATCCACCTCAACGTCTGACCTTTGATTGGGAAGGGGATTTGTCCTCCCTCTGCAGAGCAGTCACAACAGCAAGGCTGTTCCTGTTGTCTCTGGCATTCAGCTTGAAGTTGCTACAGGTCAGCCTGGCCAGCAGTCAGGAAGGAAAGCTGGAAGAGAAGCGGAGGGGAGCAGAGACAAACTGGAAGGCAGAATGGCCCACTAGAGCCCAGCAGGACAGACCAAAACCCACTTCTGTCTCTCACTTCCTCCGGCCTCAACAGTGCTGGTCTCCCGCTTTGGCTCTGAGGCACATGCACCTTCCCCAGGACTCGGAGGAGCTGCACACAGGCACCCAGGAGAAGCTGGTGTTGCTGTGGCGCTGCCCCAGTCTCTGAGTTAAGTCAGAAGGTCAACAATGTTCATGAGCTGTTACCATTTCTGGTGCCCTTCAGAGCATTAAAAAAAGCCTGCTAGTTCACATCTGCCTTCCGAGTGTTTACTGTGGGCAACAACATGGATAGGGGTTCTAGGAAATAGTTCCAGCTTAGATGAGTTGACATAGTACAAACAAGGCCACCACAGAATTAGGGCGAGAAATAGGAAATCAACAGTTGTCACTAGAGAGCTTAACATGTCCCTCCCAGATGCTGAAAGGAGGAGGAGACAGGAAATAAGATGCAGAAAATTTGTAAATGTGGACTAACAGAACTTTAAAGGCAAGGAAGAAAATCGTATTTTTTGGGGGTGCTCATGACATTTACAAATACTAACCATGTACTGTGTCACGAAAGAATACAATGATGTTGGAGATCAGAAACAAAGGGACAGCTAAAATCTTCCCATACACGTGGAAACTAAATGCATACAATAACTGACCGTTTAATTAAAAAGGAAATTGTACAATAAAGAAAACATACAATATGTAGAACTGGCCAGGCGTGGTGGTTCACGCCTGTAATCCCAGCACTTTGGGAGGCCGAGGTGGGCAGATCACGAGGTCAGGAGATTGAGACCATCCTGGCTAACACGGTGAAACCCCTTCTCCACTAAAAATACAAAAAATTAGCCTGGCGTGTTGGCGGGCTCCTGTAGTCCCAGCTACTCTGGAGGCTGAGGCAGGAGAATGGCGTGAACCTGGGAGGCGGAACTTGCAGTGAGCCAAGATCGCGCCACTGCACTCCAGCCTGGGCGACAGAGACTCTGTCTCAAAAAAAAAGAAAAAACAAAAACAAAAACAAAAAAACTATACAACGTGTAGAACTGATATAGCTAGGCTTGGGGGCTCACGTGTGTAGTCCTAGCACTTCAGGAGGCCAAGGTGGGACAATTGTGTGAGTCCAGGAGTTCGAAACCAGCCTGGGCAATACCACAAAATCGCATGTCTACAAAAAAAAAAAAAGAACCCTTAAAAATTAGCCTGGTATAGTACTGCGTGCCTGCAGTCCCAGCCACTCAGAAGGCTGAGGCAGAAAAATCACTTGAGCCCCGAAGTTTGAGGCTATAGTGAGCTGTGATTGCGCCATTGCACTCCAGACTGGCTAACACAGCGAGAGCCTGTCTCAAAAATAAAGGAGCTGATGGACAATGGAAACGTGGTATGTCAGAATGTGGAACACAGTTAAATTTGTCCTTGAAGAGAAATTGATAGCATTAAATAGATATATTAGAAAAGAGGCTGGGTGCAGTGGCTTACACCTGTAATCCCAGTGCTTTGGGAGGTTAAGGCGGGGGGATCACCTGAAGTCAGGCGTTTGAGACCACTCTGGCCAATATGGTGAAACCCCATCTCTACTACAAAACATTAGCCAGGCATGGTGGTGGGTGCCTGTAGTCCCAGCTGCTCAGGAGGGTGAAGCTGGAGAATTGCTTGAACCTGGGAGGCAGAGGTTGCAGCGAGCTGAGGTCATGCCACTGCACCCCAGCCTCGGTGACAGAGCGAGACCCTATCTCAAAAGGAATAAATGGGGAAAAAGCCATTTCATACATGAAAATGTAGGAATCCTCATAAAGATAGTAACTGAATCTGGCAGTATTAAATAGCACATCCAATAAGATGTTTTATTCCAGAAATGCAAAAATATTTTAACACCCAAACCTTAGACACTGTAAGTTTTAGGACATTAGTGGACTAAAAAGATGAAAAATCACATTCATCTATTCATCAGATACTTACTGAATGCCTCTTATGTGCTAGTAGTCTCTGTTCTGATGACAGGGGAAATGTATCAGGGAGCATTCTGTAGCACTTAGAACCAGTGCATGAGGCTGGGTGCAGTGGCTCACGCCTGTAATCCCAGTACTATGGAAAGCTGAGGCGGGTGATCCTGAGGTCAGGAACTCAATCCTCAGGTGATCCTGAGGTCAGGAGTTCGAGACCAGCCTGGCCAACATGGCAAAACCCTGTCTCTACTAAAAATACAAAAAATCAGCCTTGCGTAGTAGCGGGTGCCTGTCATCCCAGCTACCTGGGAGACTGAGGCAGGAGAATCGCATGAACCTGGGAGGCAGTGGTTGCAGTGAGCTGAGACCACACCACTGCACTCCAGCCTGGGTGACAGAACGAGACTCCGTCTGAGAAACAACAACAACAAAAAACAGTGTATGAAGTGTCCATGTCATGGACTCACGCAGACTGTGTTCTGAGGCACAAAACTTAGCACACATGACCACGTTTTTACAAAGACTCAAAATTCAGAGGGAGAGGGGAATAGGAGTGGTAGGGATGGGAAGATGGAGGAAAAAATGAATTCATGGAAATAGAATTGTGTCAGAGGATTATATGCATTTACAAGGCATTTACTACATATTGCCAAATCTGCCTCAAGACAGGTATTATTTTTGGCTTTACAATTTTTTTGTAACTGTTAAAATGTTTATTACAGTGTAATCAGAATTGTTTATATAGAGAGTCTGAAAGTTCTCTTTGCCCTGTTTCTGTGTTTCAGATAGCAAAGGCATATAAAGCCATGAAAAACTGGTATATACATGGTCTCTTATTTTATTTTTATAGATATCTATTGAAATCGAGACTCCTACCCAGATATCTTTAGTGGATGAAGCATCAGGAGAGGTAACTAAATATTAAATATTGATTAAAAAAATAGTGCTAAAATGATTGTTTATCTTTCTCTTTGATTTTGTAGTCAGATGCTCTCCCCCTCAGCTATGCCCTCAATCTTTCTCTTTGATTTTGAATGCTTATGTAACCATAAATAAAAATCTAATAATTGAGTGGGGTTTTAGGGGCAAAAAAATCCATTTGAGATTGTGTCACTCCATTTGGGCTGGACTCACAAAAATACCATAGACTGAGTGGCTTATACAATAGACACTTGTCGCTGAAGGTTCTAGAGACTGGAAATCCAAGATCCAGTCTCCAGCAGATTTCGTGTCTGGTGTGAGGGCTCATTTCCTGGTTCTTTTTTTTTTTTTTTTTGAGATGGAGTCTCACTGTCACCCAGGCTGGAATGCAGTGGCGTGATCTTGGCTCACTGCAACCTCCATCTCCTGAGTTCAAGCGATTCTCCTGCCTCAGCCTCTCTAGTAGCTGGGATTACAGGCGCCTGCCACCACGACCAGAGCCCAGCTAATTATTATATTTTTAGTAGAGAGGGGGTTTCACCATGTTGGCCAGACTCGTCTTGAACTCCTGACCTCAAGTGATCCACCCGCATTGGTCTCCCAAAGTGCTGGGATGACAGGCGTGAGTCACTGTGCCTGGTCACTTCCTGGTTCTTAGATGCTGTCTTTTCCCTGTGTCCTTCCAAGGTAAAGGGGCAAACGAGCTCCCTGGGCGTCTTTTATAAGGGCACTGATGTCATTCACAAGGCTTATATGCGCAACAACTAATCACCTCCCAGAGGCCTGCTAATAAAACCACTTTGGGGGTTAGGATTTCAACATAGGACTTTTGGGGAGGGACATGAACATTCAGTCCTTAACAGTGATGTATTTATTTCCCATGTTGTAAAGGATTGGGCATGGCTTATTTTTTGTCACATTTATTCCTTATTACATGCTAATGATGGGAACCCTGGTGTTGATATTACTACATGATGTTTTTGTCACATTTACTGAGTTTTATAATGTTCAGAATTTAAAATGGTGATTAATATTTTTGCAGCAAATTCATGTATATTGTACTTTTTTTCTGATTCCTTATTCAGAAAAGGGGCACTGCCAAGTGGGAAAAATTTATTTTTCATCATTAAATTTTGAAGTAGTACTTTTGTGAATGTATGGTTTGAATAAGTAGGACTATAGACATACCCCCCCACCCCCCTTTTTTTAAAACCTTACAGCTGGTAGGTATTTTCCTATTTTGGTTAATACTGGTTTTGTAGCTTGATTATAGCACACTGCTTTGCCATGTTTAACTTTGAGGGTGTCTTGTGTTGTCTGAGTATGATCTGAACAGAAACTGACTTTTTCAGATATTTCTTCTTTGGAGAAGATCAGACAGTTGAAGTTGAGGTATTCCTCCCATCAAATTATCCTGAGGGAGGACCACAGAGCCAGTTTAGGGAGGATTAAAAAGGAAAAAACAAGAAATAAAGGATAGGTGAACCTTTGTAAATGCCATCCTGGACTCTGCAAACTGCTTTTCCGAGGAATACTGTGATTGGTTTGTGGCCTTGTCACAATCAGGGATACTGGTGAAAGGCATTTCCTAAAGCTGGGGGCCGACAGCAGGCAGACTTTTGAGCAGTCTTGCCCCCACTTTGATTTTTTATGTTTCTTTGTGTGCCATGACTTTTGTGCATTGTTAATCCAACTCCAACCAGGGGGAGACCCATTTGAAAGGGTCTTCGAGAATGAATGGAGACTTCCGTGAGGAGTCACTGTCACCGTGCAGTGACCTGGTGTGTGCAGAGCTCTCCCCACTTACTGATGGCTGGAGAGGCAGTAGTGCCCACAGGTCTTGCCCTTGCCAAACAGTGTGACGTGCAGTGTGAATCGGGACCAGGCCTCATCCAGGCTTTTAAAGATTTTTTTTTTTTTTTTTTTGAGACTGAACCTCACTCTGTCGCCCAGGCTGGAGTGCAGTAGGGCCATCTTGGCTCACTGTAACCTCCACCTCCTGGGTTCAAGTGATTTCTCTTGCCTCAGCCTCCTGAGTAGCTGGGATTACAGGTGCCCACCACCACGCCCAGCTAATTTTTGTATTTTTAGTAGACACAGGGTTTCACCGTGTTGGCCAGACTGGTCTTGAACTCCTGACCTCAAGGGATTTGCTCACCTCGGCCTCCCAAAGTATTGGAATTACAGGCGTGAGCCACCGCACCTGGCTCAGGCTTTAAAAGTTGTTCAAAAGTGGCCGGGTGTGGTGGCTCTCACCTGTAATCCCAGCACTTTGGGAGGCCAAGGCGGACATATCACTTGAGGTCAAGAGTTTAAGACTAGCCTGACAAATATGGTAAAACCCCATCTCTACTAAAAATACAAAAAATTAGCCAGGCGTGATGGCAGGCGCCTATAATCCCAGCCACTGGGGAGGCTGAGGCAGGAGAATTGCTTGAACCCAGGAGGCGGAGGTTGCAGTGAGCCAGGATCATGCTATTGGACTCCAGCCTGGGCGACAGAGTGAGACTCCATCTCAAAAAAAAAAAACAAAAAAAAAATTAAATAGCTTTATTCAGATAGAAGTCAAAGTCACAGAATTGTGTATCCATCACCACAGTCAATTTCAGAATATTTTCAGCACCCCAAGGGAGAAAGCCTGTACCGATTGCAATCCCTCCCTATTGTTCCCCAACCCCCTGGCAACCACGACTGTATTCAACTCTCTGTCTCCATGGGTTCACCTAATCTGAATATTTCATATGAGTGGAATCATACAACATGTGTTCATTTCACATCTGACTTCTTTCACCAACGATGTTTTCAAGGGTCATCCATGTTGTAGCATGTGTCAGTTCTTTTTATGGCCAAATAATATTTCATTGTATGACTAGACCACATTTTCCTGATTCATTCATCAGTTGATAGACATTTGAACTGGTTCCACCTTTTGACTAGTATGAAGAATGCTGCTCTGAACAGCCAGGCACACATTTTTGTGTGGCCATCGGTTTTCACTTATGTTGCTTCTATAACTAGTGGTGAAATTGCTCAGTCCCATGGCAACTCTGTTGAGTGGACAAGGATTCCACTTGTTTCTAGGATTTGGAGAGTGAGGAAATTGGGAGAAAAGACACGTTGTTAAAAGGTACATAAATGTGTTCTACGAAGGAGGGCTTTGTTGAGCTAGGTCCTAATGATAACTGCTTTCCATTACTTTTTTTTCTTTATTTTCTTTTTAGAAGGAAGAGATTGTCGTGACTCTCTTACCAGCTGGTCACTGCCCAGGATCAGTTATGTAAGGGGGCTCATTTATTTTGTCATTTTATTATATGTAGATACATATTGTATTTGTAGAAATACATTTTTAGGGTCTAAAATTAATAGGGGGCTGGGCGCATTGGCACATGTCTGTAATCCCAGTGCTTTGGGAGGCTGAGGCGGGAGGACTGCTTGAGTTTGGGATTGGAGGCTGCAGTGAGCCATGATCGCTTCAGTGTACTGCAGCCGGCGTGGCAGAGTGAGAGCCCGTCTTTTTTTTAAAAAAAAAAAAACAAAGAAACAAACAAAAAAGAAAGAAATAACACATATAGGGAGATTTGATTATTTTTCTAGCCATTTAAAACACATTTGTTCCCAGATTGAACTAGGGGGACAGAGGGGAGATCAGATTTGAAACATTTCTTATAAAATGGAAGTCTTCATGGCCAGGTGTGGTGGCCCACACCTGTAATCCCAGCACTTTGGGAGGCTGTGGCAGGTGAAACCCTGTCTCTACAAAAACTATAAACATTAGCCAGGTGTGGTGGCACACCCCTGTAGTCCCAGCTACTGGGGAGGCTGAGGCAGAGAATTGCTTGAGCCCAGGAGGCGGAGGTTGCAGTGAGCCAAGATTGCGCCGCTGCATTCCAGCCTGGGGTCAGAGCAAGACTCTTGTCTCAAAATAAATATAAAAATAAAAATAAATAAATGGAAGTCTTCAGCAGCTGTTTCCCCAGTGACCTTGTATTTTATCATCACATGTATTTCTCCATGAGCAAGAATGATCTCAACTTATAATTGAAAGTGCTAACATATCACAGGGAACATCTATTACAAACTGGGTAGCATCTCCACTCTGTTATTTTCTACCCGAGGGAAGAGGTAACAGCTAAGTGCCTGGTGTGGTTCTAATTACCATGAGATTCCATTACCATTGTATTATAATGGATATGTTTGCAGGAAGCATTTACTATACATCTCACATGTATTTGCTTTATTGGGATTTTACATGAGACTCAGAATTCACTGGGATATATTTCTTTTTCAGGTTTTTATTTCAGGGCAATAATGGAACTGTCTTGTACACGGGAGACTTCAGATTGGCACAAGGAGAAGTTGCTAGAATGGAGCTTCTGCACTCGGGGGGCAGGTACTGGGCCTTGTATAGGCCTTTTTTTTTTTTTTTTTTTTGGTGAGACAGAGTCTTGCTGTGTCACCCAGGCTGGAGGGTAGTAGTGCAATCCTGGCTTACTGCAGCCTCTGCCTCCAGAGTTCAAGTGATTCTCCTGTCTCAGCCTCCCAAGTAGCTGAGATAACAGGTGTGCGCCACCATGCCCAGCTAATTTTGTATTTTTAATAGAGATGGAGTTTTGCCATGTTGGCCAGGCTGGTCTTGAACTCCTGACCTCAGGTGATCTGCCCACCTTGGCCTCCCAAAGTGCTGGGATTACAGGCATGAGCCACTGTGCCTGGCCCCTTGTACAGTTCTTGTGTGTGTGACTGAATAAAGTTTTGTTCTGGCCGGGTGCGGTGGCTCACGCCTGTAATCCCAGCACTTTGGGAGGCTGAGGTGGGTGGATCACTTGAGACCAGAAGTTCAAGACCAGTCTGGTCAACATGGTGAAACCCCATCGCTACTAAAAAATATAAATATTAGCCAGGTGTGGTGGCACACACCCGTGATCCCAGATACTTGGGAGGCTGAGGTGGGAGAATTGCTTGAACCCAGGAGGTGGAGGAGGTGGCAGTGAGCAGACCTGGTGCCACTGCACTTCAGCCTGGGCAACAGAACGAGACTCCGTCTCAAAACACAAAAAAAGTTACACATAATTTATATCACATTGGATGGCTCACATCAATATTTTTTCTTCTTTTCAGAGTCAAAGACATCCAAAGTGTATATTTAGATACTACTTTCTGCGATCCGAGATTTTACCAAATTCCAAGTCGGGTAAGTCTGCCTGGAGGAACAGGGTTCTCATCTGGGTGTACTAGTGTTTTTAGTAGGCAGTTTGTAGGGTGACAGGTCAGATCCTAACTGTCCCCGTAGGCGTGAGTACCTGGGAATGTCGGGAAGGAAAAGGCTCTGTGAGGCTCTCCCCCTGTTAAATGTCTCCTTAAAATCCTGTCTAGGAGGAGTGTTTAAGTGGAATCTTAGAGCTGGTTCGAAGCTGGATCACTCGGAGCCCGTACCATGTTGTGTGGCTGAACTGCAAAGCGGCTTATGGCTATGAATATTTGTTCACCAACCTTAGTGAAGAATTAGGAGTCCAGGTACGGTGACTGTTCATTCTTTTTTTTTTTTTTTTGAGAGGGAATCTTGCTATGTCACCCAGGCTAGAGTGCAGTGACGTGATCTCAGCTCACTGCAACCTGCACCTCCTGGGTTCAAGCGATTCCACTGGCTCAGCCTCCTGAGTAGCTGGGACTATAGGCATGAGCCACCAAGCCTGGCTAATTTTTGTATTTTTAATAGAGATGGGGTTTTGCCATGTTGGCCAGGCTGGTCTTGAATTCCTGACCTCAAGTGATCCGCCTGCTTCGGCCTCCCAAAGTGCTGGGATTATAGGCATGAGCCACTGCTCCCAGCCTGTTCATTCTTTTCTGTTGCTCCCTTCCATCCACCCAGCTCACCTTTCCTCCTCCTCCTTGCCCCCAAATAACTGCAAACAGTGACAGATGGAAGCCGAGATCACGCCACTGCACTCCAGCCTGGGCGACAGAGCAAGACTCCGTCTCAAAAAAAAGAAATAAATTTGAACGAGGAGATACGGGAGTGGATTGTTTGCAGTACATGCTCATCTGTTGCATGTCATGTATATGCCTTTAAGGATAGATGATCCTTGATTTTTTTTTTTTTTTTTTT